TAAAATAAAAAAATAAAAATGAAAAAGAAAAAGAAACGTGAGATTAAAAAAAATAGATGTAGAAGAACATTACATTGTTTAAATCTACTAAATTGTATAATGTATTTTTTAAGGAAACACAACAACGGAATGGAAAAGGTGTATATTAAATAAAAGAAAAAGGAAATTTAAAATAATAAAAGAATATAAGTAGAATAGTCTTGTATGATTTAAAATTCTATGTTTTTATGTAACGAAATTTAAGATGATAAAACAACACATGTAGAATAGTCTTGTATGGTTTAAAATTATATGTTTCTAAAGTGCCAACATTGAGATGTGAGAGTAGCACGGTCACTACATAATAAATAAAGTTAATAATGAAAAGAACCATTTCTAAGTGGATCAGCACTTCACTAACTTAAGCTTAAAGCTAGCTACATTGGACGTGTTAACTTACCTACAAAAAAAAAAAAAAAAAAAAAAAAAAAAAAGAGGTTCTTTTTTCTTCTAATACTTGGAGAGACATATTTCAGGTTCCTTAAAAAAGAAAGGACATGCCTCATCCTTGGTCCTCCCAAATCCAATGAAGGAAGTTGCCTTACCAAGCCAAGGAGAGGTCCACATGTCGGCCTAAGCAATTGTCATTCTGTTTCTCTTAAAAGGGCAAAAGCTGGCCTAAGCAATCAGATGGATTCAAGGGACTAAATATCAGCCCAAGTCCAATTTTATATAGCTTCGCACCAAAGGAGTAAAGCGTCCTATGCTTTTTCAGAACGTTTCTTCGAAGGTAAGCACTGATCTAGCAAGGATAAGGAAAATTGGGTAAGGTTAAGTTTGAACCAAAACAAATCTAATCTTGTGAGGAATTCTTTCTGGCACGACAATTGTTATCCAAGGCTGTCTTCTTGCAACACCTTTGGGTTTCTTCAATCTGATTTAACAACTGAGCATTTGGAAGGCTGTTGTCCTCCTTCAAAGGCTGTTTCTCACAGATATAAGAGAGAAATTAGTCATCTTAGAAGGTGATGGACAAGAAAGGAAAAACAGAAATGGGTTTCTCACAACAATGAGCTCAACCCTGGTATGTCCTCTTTCTTGAACTCTCGGAGCTCTCTTTCTGCTCCTCCTCCTTCTACTCCTTGTGGGGTATTGAGGAGTGTTGTGGGGGTGGAGAATGACGGTTTGTCAGTGGTTTCTAAGAAATAATCGCCTATGTTTGAGGCAGTATCAGAGAACGATGGTTTTCAAACACCGAAACCACTAGGGAACCTATCTGCAAGAAAGCGCCCTCTGCCTCTGTCCTCCCCAAAATGGCTCGAAATAACCCTCCTCCAAAGTCTGTGTCGCTCCCCACCGAACTTCCATAACCAAGTCCCTAGGAGAGCCCTATTGAAGGGCATCAATCTCCAAATCCCCAAACTACCCAACCGAATAAGCCTACAAATCTGCTCCCAGTGGACAAGATGATACTTAAACTCCTCCCCCAAACTGCCCCATAAAAAGTTCCGCGAAGCCTCTCAATTCTTTCAGCCGCCGAAGAAGGAATTTGGAAGGGAGAGAGAGGAAATATATAGGGAGACACGACAACATGCTCTTCATCAAAGTGACCTTCCCACCCTTCGAAAGACGCTGCTTCTTCCACCCGGCAAGTCTCCTTTCAAACTGCTTTACCACAGGTCCTAACCCCCTACTCTCCTCATTTTAAAGTGTATAGAAGGTGTGGGAAGGACGGCTCTAAGGGTTAAGGTTTAATTTGTCACGTGTTAGATGAAGTGGGGTCCACTTGGAGTCTTGCATAATTGGGGGGATTTGGTCAAATTGCATAATTATGGTAGATGCAATTGCATCAGTCAGTAGTGTGGGAAAATGTGTTTAATGACTTGTATTCTATACGTGTATAGTTAGCTATTTTAGGAAATTCTGTAACAGCTAGTATTCCTAGAATTAGACTGATTCTATAACAACCTGTATTCCTAGAATTAGGTTGATTTTGTTAGTTTTCTATTCTGTTAGAATATCCCATAAATTAGGCTAATTCTGTAACAACCTGTATTCCTAGAATTAGGTTGATTTGGTTAGTTTTATATTATGTTAGAATATCCCATAAATCATGGGATCTAATATAACCTAGTTAGTTTTCCTTTTTCTGCTTCTAGGATTGATGTATATAGCTAACGTTTTGTGTATTATTCAAAATGAATGAAGGAAATTATTTTCTCAGTTTGTGTCATGGTATCAAAGCTTTAGGCTCTTTTCTAGAGTTAAAAACCCCTTCACACAGGCCTTCATTGCCGAGACCATACTGTTACTTCTTTGTACCCTGTTTTACCCCGATTTTTAGTTCAAAAACAGAGTACTTTTACACTCTTTCTGTTCAGCCTTCATTGCTGAAATTTCTTATAGCAGTTTCCGTTCTTATTTCTACCTTTGCCAACCTTCATTGCTGGTGGTTTCCATTTCGAGTGATCGGACTTAGTCGCCAAGAGATCGTTGTTTGTGAAGAATGTCGGAGGTCGCA